AGGTCTTTTATTGTCTTCATATGGATGATTTTGGCATACAGCTCATGAAAATCCCAAATGTCACAAAATTAGCATATGAAAAAGGTCTCTATGCACCTAATCATCTGATCAATAAATTAACTCTAAACACCTGCAAAACATTCCTGAGGCCTTTAAAACTCCCAGCCTGGTTCATCACTCAAAACCCCAATCATGGGTCAGACTGCCGACCTGACTGCTGTCCAGAAGGCCATCATTGACACCCTCAAGCAAGATGGAATGATACAGGAAGATATTTCTGAACCAATAGGCTGTTCCCAGAGTGCTGCTGTATCAAGGCACCTCAGTGGGAAGGAAAAATGTGCCAGAAAACGCTGCAAAACGAGAAGAGGTGATCGGACCCTGAGGAAGATTGTGGAGAAGGCCGATTCCAGACCTTGGGGGACCTGCGGAAGCAGCGGACTGACTCTGGAGTAGAAACATCCAGAGCCACCGTGCACAGGCGTGTGTAGGAAATGGGCTACTGGTGCCGCATTCCCCAGGTCAAGCCACTTTAGAACCAGAAACAGCGGCAGAGGCGCCTGACCTGAGCTACAGAGAAGCAGCACTGGACTGTTGCTCCGTTCTGCAGGTCATTTGGAAATCTAGCCAGAAAATTTTTTAAAGGGTGGCCAGGTAATAAAAAATGTACACTGAGGGGAGGCCGATAGTGGATAGGCACTAAAACCACACGGTCAATCTACACTGTTCCTACAGGAAAATTAACGAGCAAAACATCCATATTTTCTAAATAAATAAAAATTATACTTTCCCACAGGCTTTGCTAACAAATAGACACATATATTTAAACATCCGTGGTTTCTACATAAAAGGTACAGTGAATAATATTCTTTTAGGTTTGAGTTTTGGGCCAACATCTTTTCTTTGTCATTACTAACCTACTTTTATCAATAATTATTAGGCATAAAAATGATATTCACAAATACTAATATGAACATAAATTGATCATTTAATAAGTTTTTATTAAAAATAGTTATTTATCTTTGATCTCAATGAGGACTCCCAGATGACTTGCAGAGAGACGTAATTTTCTCTTTACCCCATAAAACACAAAACCTAGTTCTGAAAAGAGCATGAATTCTGTACTTATCTTTAATAAGTATGCCAAAACCATTCAGACAATAAAAGACCTGAAATATTTCAGTTAGTGTGCAATGAATCTAAAATATATGAATGTTCAGGTTTGATCATAAACATTATGGAAAAGAATGAACTTTATCACAATATGCTAATATTTTGAGAAGGCCCTGTGTGTATATATTGAAAGCATTCCACTCCACTGAAGGTGTTTCCTTCTCAGGGTGTCAAAGGTATTAATATTTATTACTCAAGTAGAAGTATAAATCCTTCTGTTTAAAAAAACTTTTGTAGAAGTTAGAGAATCAACTTAAGCTTTTTACCAAAGTAAAAGTGTTAAACTAACATTTTAAAACAATTTAAAATATTAAAGTAAACCATGAAGGGAAAAATGTTACGACAGAAGCTTTACTGCACCATCCTTTTAAAGGATCATCCATCTTCTTCCTCTTATCTGGGGTTAGATGGCGGGGTTAGCAGCTTCAGTAGGGAGGCCCAGACATCTCTCTCTCCCGCCACTTGGGGAGGCCACAAGGCGCTCCCAGGCCAGCCCAGAAACATAGTCCCTCCAGCGTGTCCTGGGTCTCCTCCCAGTGGGATGTGCTTGGAACACCTCACCAGGGAGACGTCCAGGAGGCGTCCTAACCAGGTGCCCAAGCCACCTCAACTGGCTCCTCTCGATGTGGAGGAGCAGCGGCTCTACTCTGACTCCTCCCCGGATGACTGAGCTCTAAGGGGGAGCCCAGACACACTACGGAGAAAACTCATTTCAGCTGCTTGTATCTGGGACATCATTCTTTCGGTCATGACCCAAAGCTCTTGACCATAGATGAGGGTAGGAACGTAGATCGACTGGTAAATCAAGAGCTTTGCTTTTTGGCTCGGCTCTCTCTTCACCACCACAGGGCCCGCTTCACAGCAGACGCCGCACCGATCTCCCACTCCATCTTCACCTTATTCGACAAACAAAAAGGATAATTTTTCTAAAATTCTGGACGATAACTTCCTTACACTTAAGTTTCTTAGTTTTTTAACTAATGGTAACAATGTCAAAATTTATTTTGCATCATCTTGGAAAACTAGTTTGGTTTGTGGTAAACAACAAGTTGGGGCAGCACCAATTGTTTGAATGAAACTAATTATTTTGATGGGTTTTATTTTTTTTTAATACCATCAGGCCATAATGAAAATGGGCTCAAATGACAAAACTAATGAGTCTATTTTTAAAATTTAAGGAGTAGAACTAAAAAGTTTTATAAAATTACTCCAGTAGAGAAAATTTCTAGTTAATTAAGGTAACAAAGTATTTGTAATTTATTACTTAAAACCTCTGCTCAGCGCCCTTTCCCTGTTATTTTGCCCAGAGACATCACTTTTCTTAGAGTAAACAACTCTTAATAAGGACTTCAACATTATTTAATCTCACTTCTTCAGGCTAATAGTACAGAAGTTTTACAGCGATGGTGGATTTCAGTACCAAAAGGATGAAGAAGAGCCATGAAAAACTGTTTTATTGGTATCAGTAGGTTACGTCGTACCCTATCCATGATTGTTTTTTTTTGTTTGTTTTTTATGTTCCTGTATCTGTATTTTCATCTCTTTTTATTTATTTTTTTGTATTATTTGTAAAGTGACCTTGAGTGTCAAGAAAGGCGCTGCTAAATAAAATGTATTATTATTACCCAGTGGATGTCTGTCCAATGTCCCCTTTACAAACCTGACCTTATAGATAAGTAGCTGTAATATTATTTATATATTATATATTTCTCCAAACCTTGAGATATTTACTGACTGCTTCAACTAATCAGACTCCTGAGGGAGATTAAATGAAACATAAGGGATTTATGTTTGTAGCCTTTTAATGAAGGATAAAGATTATTCCTGACACGCTTAAACATCATAAGAGACTGCATAGACTTATCAAATCTTTTTATTTCATTAAACAAAATATGCAGCGAGGAGGAAGAGGGTTTTCTCTCTTTACCACAGGCAGGTTCAAAAGCAACAACTCAAAGCGTGACATTTAAATGGCAGCTCAACGATTCATTAAACATAAAGCTAATCAAACATTTAAACCCTTGAACTGGATTCAGATTCATTCAAACTGAAGGGGTGCATGAAACATTTCCTTCTTGTTAGGATTTAGACAAAGTCTTCCTTTTTTAACTAGCAGCTGTATCAGATTTATTATAGAATAAAATGTTAAAATCATACTTGGTATAAATTCATATTGAGGGGGGAAAAAGCAGCAGAAAAAAAAATACATATTTGCATGCAAATAATGAGGTGGAAATCATTGAATCACATGGGATTTGTTTGTATTTTCATGAAACCGTATTTAAGCTTTTCAGTAACCGTCGTTTACCTATTAGTACGTCACCATGTGACCTTTCCTGGTGGTCAGACAGACCAACAGGAAAGGTCATCAGGATTTTAAACGATGAAATAAGGAACATAAATAAGGAACTTCCTAGCCAATGGGTTGCTAACATGACTGCTGCAGCTGCACGCTTGAAACGCGATAAAAAAACAAAACTTTTCATTTCAATAAATAAAAACCTGTTGGACAAACAGAGACTTCAGATTAAAATCCCAAAACTGTGAAAAATATTTGAGAAAAAAAGGAATTTCTGCAGAAATGTAATTCAGACACCAGGCTGATGCCAGAAAGATTTTAGCTTTATTATAAATCTCTATTAAGCAACCAAATAGTGGCCAAAATCCTCAGATTAAGTTCAAATTTACAGAATTATTAAATATTAAACCAGTATTTAAGCTTTAATTAACCTTTCAAAGTGCTTTAATCTAAGTACATCTCAATCGATTAGAAAATCATCAATTCAGAAATCTTAATTCTGCCGGAGCAAATTAATTCATGTTGATAGATTCAGACATTTCTGTCAAGTTTGATGATTATTAACTCAAAAATTCATTTTCAGAGAAATATACCAGTGATCCTGAATAGAGAGCTGATTAGTTTGGGGAGATTCCTACAGGGAGAGCAGCTGAAGCCGGTGTCTCCAGTCATCGCACAGACTGGTTCAGTACATGAGCCACAACTTTAAAAAGCATTTTATAGACCAATAAAATGAAAATAACTGCAGATCAGTGGTCTAATATCACCTCCAGGTATAAAATACTACTGAGTTTTATTTGGAAGTCTATGATGCTTAAGGTAAAGTTTCCATGGGGATGATTTCAGGAGCCGCGGCGTCTGGTGTCGGTCCACCATGTTTTAATCAAGGTCAAAGTGAGCGCAGCCGATCCTGAAGAAAAGTTTTAAAGAATTCATCAGCTACATGCTTCCCTCTTTAGACAACCTTTACCACATGAGATGCTGATTTCATTTGTTAGTATTTAGCATCTGCCTGATCAGCCAAACGTATTGGATAAGAGCGCCCATGGCCGACACTGACAAGCTTTATTAAAGAGAGTTCCTGAACACATCAGCAGAGCCATAAGCTGATCCTCTACATGCCTCCCTGGATGGCATGTCGGTCAGTACTGAGTTAATTACTGTACAACACCGGCAGGAGTCTCTCAGTAGTAGAGTCTTCTATTATGAAGTTATTTACTGAATTTACTATTTTTTAAAACTGTAAGCTTTAAAGAACAGAACTGAACAAAATTACTGAATTAAGTCAACTTATTAATCATGATGCTGTTTAACTCTCAGCCTTTATCCAGTTATTATGCAGAAAGGCTGCTGGTGGTCCCTGCTGCCATTGCAGCTACAGAACAACAGTAACGGGAGCAGACGGCCATCGATAAACACAGCAAACACGGAGCTCACCTTCAACACTGACAGAAGAAAGCAATCGCTTTAAGACTTCCATTGAAGCGCAGCACTGAACCCCGCAGACATGAAACATGTTCTCCATCTGATGGAGATCCAAACAAACACGCCTCCCGCTGAGGCATGTGGGACGGGGCTGCGTCCTCACATGGAGAGGGGAGGGGGGAAGCTCAACAATGGAAGGTTCCCCCCAGCTTCTCCTTTTAACTTTAAGTAGAATGTGTAAAAATAAATACAGCACTACTCCAGAGGCAAGTTCACTTCAGCAGCGAGTGAGGGACAGGGGGAGGTAGTAGGGGACAGTTTGTGGGCAGACTGCGCCTTCTCTGCTCAGCTCAGGGTTTGAATTTTCTCCAGAAGCTCCGGTTTGAGGAGGGTGGGGCTCTTTCCACCCGCAGCTGCAATGTCAGCCTGCACGGCTGCATCCCAGGCAAACGTCAGCAGGGCAGCGGGGACCTGCAACAAAAAGACGGATTTATTACATGAACGGATCCAGTTAAATGAAACAACTTTAACTATTTCTCCTCATTAAATACTCGCGGTGTTGCCTGTTTACCAAGCAGACACCCAACTCACCAGGTTAGAGTCTACCAGAGAAACTTCCTCAGACTCTTGCAGCTTTTGACCTCCGGGGGCGATGAGCTCAAACGGCTGCCAGCCGTCCACCAGCGACTCCCGGACGAATTCAAAGAGTGCAGGCAGGCGGTCCCAGGCATAAAATGTAGCTGTAAAGAGGATGAACGCCATTCGAGCTGAGTTTGAACCATTCCATTCAGTGCAGCCACTAAAACTGAGCTATCTCTATAGTTCTGCTGCTATAGGCTTAGACTGCTGGAGGACATAGGGACCCCAGTTTCATCATTCTACTTCATTCTCTCTCTATTCTCCTACTCTGCAGAATCTCAAACAAACAGCAGCAGCAGCGACTGCAGAGGAGCAGAAATTGAGTATTTCAACAGCCTCTAAGGAACAACGTGTTACATTTTGAGCAGCAGCTGGATCTTATGTCCAGAGGACATTTGGTTCCAGCTCAGGTTATCCTGAGCTATCTCTATAGTTATGCTGCTATAGGCTTAGACCTCTGGAGGACATAGGGACCCCTATTTTCATCATTCTCTCTCTATTCCCCTATTCTGCAGAATCTGTTAGTTCAATCTCTAACATTCTGCTCTCTCTGCTTTTTGTCATAGTAGCTTCATCTGGTCTGTTCCTGTTTGACATGTGATGTGAACTGGCGCTATAGAAATAAACTGAATAGAATTGAATTGAATTAAAACTAAGCTGGAAACTCGAAGCCTACAGATGAGAAGAACAAAAATGGAAGGGGAGCTCACCCTGCAGCAGGTTCCCATCAGGCAGTCTGATTCGGAGCAGGGTATAGTTGTATTTCCTTCTCTCCCTCTGTTCCTCCTTCTCCCTCATAGCTTTTGTGCGAAGCATGGCGTTCCTCTCCACCAACTCACTTCTAGAAACCACCCCGAATATTTTATAGCTCTATTACTTCTAGTTGCACGTGAAGCAGCTAATAGAAGTGGCACGTACCTCTGCTGCTGCTCCTTCTTTAGCTCCTCTGCGGTCAGGTTGTAGAAGTCGGACGGCAGCTCGAAGCGCTGTGCGTTGGGAGACGGTCGGAAAGCCTGAGGCTGCCGGTCCAGTTTGGCTCTGACTGGCTCTCCTCTCTGAAGACGATCTCTCCGCTCCTTCATCAGCTCCAGGGCGTCACCACTTTGCTCCGGTAAGACCAGAAACTCCTCTTCCTCCTCTGATCTCCATTAAAAGTAAAAATGATAACAAATGTAAACACTGAATAATCCTTCCTGGATTCTTAGCTGGATTTAGGCCTGAAGCAACTGGGTTGTTTGAACTCATCGATAATTTTATTGGAACTCTGGTTGAATGTTTAGAGTCGCTGTCCTTCACCACACTTTTGGGTGCTTCGCAGCCCCGTGTTTCACTCCATTCATCTATGCTTTAACTTGAAGGTGCTTCTCTGTCCCTGCTAAGGAAAGCTAAGCCCACAGCACTATACTGCCACCACTTTTTAGCTACGAAATGCAGGTTTCTGGATATTTTGCCTTAAAACAATTAGCTTTCTTCTTATAGCTGTTGCACGATTCCTTCAGAGTTAACCTCTTGGTTGCTTCTCTCACTGATGCTTTCCTCACTAATGTCACATTGAGCTGTTTTTGCTCCATCGGGGGTCACAGAGCAACTTTTACATTCACGCCAGCGAGCAAAACTCGTTTTGTGCCGCAAACATTAAGTGATCCTTTATAAAGAGAGGAAAATGATAACTTATGTTTAAATAAATATCTACCTAAGATTTGTCAGTTGTTTAAAAAATAAAATGTGGTGCTATTTCATAAATTACGTTTTAAAATGAAGGAAAAATAGCAAAGAAATAATAATAATAAATAAATAAATACATTTTAATGGGTTCCTGATTTTTTTTTATTTAAAAAAAACAGGGAAAAACAAAAATTTTCCCCACTGAAAAAACAAATACATTTCTGTTATATTTAGATTCCATTTATTTAGGAAATTCAACATAATTAGTCAACAGAGAGAATTCTAATCAGCATTTGTTAGAATACCTATTTTTCCAAAGATTAGCTTTTCATCATTGTTTAGTCAAAATGATGAAGAGCCCCAGGCTCAAGACATCTGTGATAGATGGAGCAGAAGTTTGAAATATCATCTGATGAGTAAATAATAAGTTTGCTGTGGTCCTCAGTCTTTCTGATAATACTGACTCTCTAATATTCTCCAACAAACCTATAAGGATTTCACAGAACAGCAGGATGTATGCTGAGTAGCTTAGACACAGCTGGACTCTGGGTTGTTTTTTTAAAGGCACTGTTTTTCCTTCATTTTATGCAGGAGTATCAGAATAAAAGGGGGTTGAATCCAGATGTTTTTATTTGAAAATTAAAAAATAAATTTCCTTCTAATTCACAATTATTCCCTTCTTTAAGTTAACATGTTTAGCTTTATCCTGAACAACCATAGCAAAGTTCGGAGGGTGTGAATATTTTTTGAAGGGACAGATCTGAAAACAGCAGGATTCATTTACCTTGGCCGTCTACAGGAAGCATAACACTTATGAAGCCCAAAGCCTGCAAAAACTCCCGACTTCCCTCCACAGGACGCACTTTCTCCTGAAACACATCGAGGAATGTTTTTAAAAATCAATGGAAAACAGATTTCTGCATCAACCCTCTTCCAAATGCTTTTTAATCGAGTCTGTCCTAAATCAGAAACACCTAATTTGCTCTAAACTCACCTGGAAGACCTTATTGCTGACTTTGATCTTCCTGTACTTCTCCTCTGATGGATTCTTACATATATTATCAACATATCTGTAAATAAAAAAACAAGAAATACGGAATGGACAGTTTTTTATGATAAATGCTAAAATATATCAGTCAATATGGAATATGCCTTACTTGCTGATGATGTCCACAGCTGCCTTCACTTTCTCTCTATCTTTGTTAAATGTGTGGATCATCATAACAGAAGCCTCGATATCATCCTCCTCAAAGCGCTGACGGTAAAAACACAGAACATGAAACCACTTAAAACCCCCACCCCCCCCGAATCACATTTAGAGCCTGTTGTGTCTGCCTAAGAACCTCAGACATGTTATAGTTTGCCGTCCTCAGACATACCATCAGAATGGCCTCTTTAATGTGGACTTCCCTCTGACTCTTGGTTAACGTGGCTCCAGTGAGAGGGCAGGTGAAGTAGACGCCGGACACAGAGAGGCAAGCTGGATCTTTCACTTTGGATCCCTGGAATAAATGCAGTTATTGCCGTTAGCTACAGCTATCCACTTCTCTGCTCATCAGGTGAAATGGTGGCGTACATCATGCTCCAGATGGAACATACCTCGGCTGGGAGAGCGGTTTCCTTCTCTACCTGAGCCGCTGCCTCAGCCTCAAGTTCTCTTTTCACTGCAAAGGAGAAACGGATTAGTAAAGCAAAGAAAACTAATCTTCTTTCATCAAATTCTTGTTAGATTCAAATAAAATTTGAGTGTTTAGACTTTGCTTCAACACAGAGCAGCAAAGTAAAGTCCAGTGAACTCTTATGGTTTAAAGGTACTATTACTGATAACAGATAATGGGTGTTGAGTTGTTTTTATAGACTACTTCTAATAGCACGTTGTTGCAGAAGCCGTATAACTCCTTCTACTTGCATTGCCTTTTCCATTTTGTAAGGATTAAAAAATGCCTTTCTAGGACATGTTTGGTGGTTCAGAGGTCCTCCACATTTTTCATGACATCCTCTTCAGATTTGTCAGTTGCTTTTTGAGCCAGAGTTTCAAGTGTAATTTAAAAAAACTTTAAATATGGATTCTTTAAAAAATAAAATCACAGATTGAAGGACTGATGGCCCGACGGAAATATTAATGAATGGAGGAAAAAAACAAAAACAAACAAAGACAGCCAGATGGAAAGTATAGAGGGAAGAGTGAAAAATTAAATAATAATCTGATAGTTGGATGGAAAAATGGATGTGCAGATAAAAGAATAGAGGGATGGAAGGAAAGAAGAATATGTGAATAAATAACCAGCTGGAGGAATAGAAAAATCTAGGAGAAAAGATGGGACACATGGTTGAATCACTGGGTGGAAACGCAGCTCCTTATTGGATCCCTCTTGGTAACTTTTTACATGAAAACCAAAACAGTTTTTATGACCATTAAATCTTCTAATTAGAGGCTGATGATAAAACAAAAAGTATCTTATATATTAACAATTTCTAGAAAAATACAAAGTGCATTAACAAGAGAAAAACAGGGAAATGAGTATAGATCAGTCAGATTAGAGAGGAAACCATCCAGCAGCAGGCCTGAGTGATCCTCACCCTGGTTCCTGATGGCATCCTGGGAGGTGTGCACTTTAGGCCGAGGCTTCTGCTCGATCCGGGCCAGGGCCGCGGCCCCTGCCATCTGTGCCCCTTCGCTGGGAGCATGCCTGCTCTGCTTGGAGCTGCTCGGTGCCGCGACTGGCTTACTGCGGAAGCGATCATCAACACGTCATGAGTTCAGATCAGAGCTTCAAAGCCTTCTGAGTGAGTTAGAAGGCATAACTAAGCAGCGCTGCAGCGAGTCAACTGGGGCATCGCTGACAGATCTGTTTAATGCACTTATTCAGGCGGCTTCTTTAGCTTTAGCGCTTTAAGCTTGTTGGCGGATTAACTGTCAAAGTTAGCACGGCGTCTCCTACCGCCTATTGTTTACATAACAAACTACTAACAAATAAAAACATACCAAGCCAAAACTGAAATATAAAAAATGTTTGATGAGTTGTCTAACAGTTTATCTATGATTAACGGAGTAGAAAGAAGAAAATCGTTTGAATTGCCTTGTTTCTTCGGTTAACTTCTTCCCGGGTCCTGCAGATTTAAATTTAATGTCCTTTTTAATATCTTCAAATAGCTTCTTCATCTTCTGGGTCCGTCAGTAAAAGAAAACCATCAGAAAAGATTGTTATCAGCAAGTCAAGAGCACCAAGCTACACTAAGCTAGGAGGTGGAGCAGACCAAAACAAAATCCATAAAAAAATCTGCTTCCGTCTCAACAAATAAATATGTCGCCCCCTGGTGGCTCGGAAAGGAACTCACTTCTAAAGGCTGTATACACCTAAAACAGGACTACAATAGGATACAGCTTCCAAACATTCTCTACTTATTAATCTCCCACATTTATTATCAAAATCACTTAATGATTCTGATGTTCTTGTTAGTTAAGTACAACAATATAATCTGCCTATTTTTGCAATTGTCTTCAACAGAAACACACAATGTCCCACATCCCATGTGTGAGTGTGAGGTACCTGTTTGTATGACAGACAGTGATCGCATCTTAGTGATCCTTCCTGACAATTTTACAAAACACTATTTTTTGTTATCAAAAATATTGTTTAGAAATATACTTTTCTGAAAAAAACAAATGGTTGCCATTGATATTGATCAAAATTATAAAAAACTATGTTTATATGCTTACTCTCACTTGATAAATAATATCATGGCATTTTGCAGTTATTAAATAAAATGCTTTAACATAGTTTGAATTCTATTATCTATTTCTTTCTACTATTAAAATGTCTTTTAACTAAAATACATTGAAAAGCTGCTAAAACAGAGAAAACCTAAAATACCTGTTTTCACTTTACCTTAATAAAGTATTAACTTATTAAATCTCACAAGTTTTTTTTTTTTTTTAATCAAATTCAAACGCAAGCAGTTTCGTTAATAATAACATGTTCTGTAAACGCATCATTTCATCATCCCCTCCTGACTGCTCTCACGTTTACGAGGAGCACCTGAAGGCAGCATACCGTGCGCTGATGCCACGTTAAATGTGACGTAGCAGGAGGCGGAGGCCGATGGGCGGAGTCATCGCAGAGTGTAGTTAGACGGGAACCACACAGCAGTACATATTAATGCTTTTAACAGCAACGGGAGACTTGGAGAGAGGTGAGGGGTTGGTTACTAGTATATTTTTTGAATGATAATGTTTATATAAAGCTATTATTATTACTATGTGGTGATTTTCTGATATAAATATGTGCTCGGCACCAGTTTCCTGACAGCATGTCTGAGCTGCTAATGTCAGGTTGATAAATGATGATTAAAAGCTCCCTTATGGGTAAAATAGAGCTTTATGGAGGTAATTCTGTCTGTGTTTAGTTTCTATGCTCGCCCTGGAATGAAGCAATTCTCCAGCTGATAATCAAACATGAGTCTCATTCTAGGAAACATGAATGTTTAAGTTTCAGGGCTGAATCTGCCCCTTATTGTTTGTATATGATGATGATTCAGAGAACAAATCATTTCTCTAAATCAGTTTAATCTGAGACATTTCAGAAGAAATCTCCTGGAGGATTTCCTGCTTTATAAAGCTGCTTGTTAAGGGTGTGTGAGCAAACACCAACCATTTAAGTCATGGTTTCATTTCAATGCTGGATGTTGAGCTGTAACCAGTTCTGTCAGCAGCCAGACTTTGTTTCATCCCAGTTCCTCCCCACTTAAATCTACTTCTATCATCCTTTCATTTAGTCAGATTTAGCCCTCATCTTAAAACATAATCTAATTCAAATGTTTTCTGTTTGGTAGTCATGACAGCATAATTAAATGTTCAATGTTTTCTTTGTTTTTTTTGCAGATTTAACCCAAATCCTTATCAATCATGGACCCAAACACCAGCGGACTGGAGCAGAAGTTGGCTGAAGCGGGCCAGTCTCACCTCCTGCAGTTCTGGAAGGAGCTGAGCCCTAAAGAGCAGCAGAACCTCTTCCAGGAGCTTCAGGGTTTAGATTTCCAGGAGATCAACGTGTTCTTCAAGAACGCCATGGAGACGTCCAGCAACAGCAAACATGAGAAGATGGACGGCCGCATGGAGCCGGTTCCCAGGGATGTACTCGGGAGTGTGACGAGAGACAGGGAGAGCCTGAAAGACTGGGAGGTCAAAGGTCAGTCGGTCAGGACTTTCACATTTTTTTTCTTGCCTTTAAAGAGAAGAGTCTTTATTATCCAGCAGAACAATAAGGAAGCAGGAAAATGTTTTTATTATTGTTGTACCGTCTTTTATCCAGTAGAAAAAAGCCTCAATCATATTCTAATTTTTCCTGGAAAACAAGCAGAGAAGAGGCTTTAACCCGGATTATTTTGGGTTTTTACCTCATAATAAAGGGAACCAATTTACTGGTATCGCTCCGGGAAGCTTAACGAGATTAAAGCATCACATGGCGGCCCAGATCATGTGATACAGACAGAGGCCGGTGCATTTTCTCATGTCTTCCTTTGGGAAAGTTCGGAGAACCTACTTCCAGATCCTCAGAAGGAAGACATTTCAGTGCATCTACTTCCACAGCCGCAGCCATAACAGCAGGAAAACCATCCACTGACTCACTGCATGAGTTCAGAGATTCAACACTTTGCCCCAGTTTAGTTTATTGGGAATTTTTCATAATGAGCAAGGAGGTTGTCATTGTTTTGGGTCATTTGCACAATCCCCTCGTTGCTGAGGAGATTCCAATGAATCACTTGGAAGTGTATCTATGGCCAGAAGACATCTGGTTCTGATTCGGTGCTGACGTCATTGGGTCCGTCTCTCTTGACCCTCATTGATGAAGTCATCTCAACACGCCGTGGCCACTGTTGTGTGCGCCGGCCGGGTGTGGCGTGAGAGTGTTTGTTTGTGCAGGACGCCAGTCAAAGTCTAGCGGACCCTCCCCAGCGCCGCGTTCAGAACGTGTCTGTTTGCAGCCGCAGTTAGAAACATGGCTGCTTATATTGTGTCACGTTGCCGGCAGTAAACCTGAGATAAACTTGACACCCAGAATCAATAAAATATCAACTTTTTGTTTAAAGGTATTTTAAAATTTGAAGCAAAAAAAAAAAAACAGTTTAGATGTTGGAGTCCATTGTTAACATTTTCTCTGCTCCCTGGTTTTGAAATTTTCCTGAGACATGATGGTTAACGTTGAACCGTATGGATGACATTTATCTGCAATGTTTGGTTAACTTTATCATTATTTATCTAAGCTTTCCCTGCAGAGACAATTGGAAAGCACTAAAGATTAGATAGGAAAGTGTGAAGGGATCATGTACTGGGGGGTTCCCTTCTCTAATGATATGCAGTCCTTAGCTGTAGTATCCCCCCCCTGCAGGTTTTTGTATTTGATTAAGATTTAGTTTGACTGATTTAAAGTGAAAGGAACAGGAAATGGATTTTCCAAATTATTTACTGATAACATTCATTATTATTCTGCCCTCTTTACATGATATCTCCTGGTAAAATCCAGCAGTTCCAATAAGGAAGTTTAAAGTTTATTAGAGAACAAACGGCATCAGGAACACGATTAGAGGCAGAGCTTAACTTAAGGCTGGATGTGGTTATAAGATGATATTCAAAGCTTTAAATATTTCCCAGCTCTGTTTTTAATGGAAAGAATCAACTAGTCTGTCCTCGTTGAAAGGCTGTTGAGGAAGAAAACGATTAAAAGTTGTTTTTCCTGTTTGCTAGAAACTATGAAGAAGACACATACCAGCATGATGAAGGTGACTTTAATGTTCCAGCCTACACCCAAAATACCATGAGCCTGAATATAAAACACCTACTAAAAAACAAGGCGGTGGCAGCATCATGCAACGGGGCAAAGTAAATCATAAATAAAATAATGATTTAACTTTATTGTTTTCATCTTGGAGAAATTTACCCCTGCATTTAACCCATCCCCTTGGGGAGCAGTGTGGGGTTAAGGGTCATGCTCAGAGAGCCAAAGTGGCAGTCTGTGGGAGTGGGGCTCGAACTCAGAACCTCAGGATTCCAAGCTCTATGCCTTAACCAGTAGGCCGCTGCGTACAGGCAGAGCTACAGTGGGACGGTTTACATCCTATTTATGTTTATTTTTCTGAGCTTGAGGTATGTTGGAAAGAAGAAAATCCAAACATTTCAGTCTGTCAGTGTAACTCCAGGAAACACTGTTCTGCTTTTTATATGCAGTGGAAAAAAATCCAAATTTATATTTCTTAAAATAAGTAATTTTTTCTTGAATTTAGAAGGTAAAATTATGGAAGAGTAATCCTCTTCTGTACCACTGCCACTGAAAAAAAAAGTTGACTGATTTTTAAATTTTCTTTCAGTTTAATATGGGAAAAAATTCAGAATTCTGACTTTTTTCTCAGAATTTTTTGGATCTTAATGTAGATGGGCACCATGAAGGAAGAGATGTAGGAGCACTCAGCTTCACTGACAAAGATGTGAGTTGTTTGAGAGGGCCAGTAACACATTGGGGAAAATTACGGAATTAGGCAACTTTTTAGGTGCCTGAGGAGTCCCCTCATTAATGGAGGAGCAGAAGGTCATTTAAACAAGAGAGCTAGTCTCTAAAACAGACATGGCTATGGCTTGATGCCAACGTGTTTGCCATCAGTCAGAATTCTGAGATTTAAGTCAGAATTCTGAGATTAAAGTGAAAATTCTGAGAAAAAAGTCAGAATTCTGAGAAAAAAGTCAGAATTCTGAGATTAAAGTCAGAATTCTGAGAAAAAAGCCAGAATTCTGAAAAAAAGTCAGAATTCTGAGAAAAAAGTCAGAATTCTGAGATTAAAGTGAAAATTCTGAGAAAAAAGTGAAAATTCTGAGAAAAAAAGTCAGAATTCTGAGAAAAAAGTGAAAATTCTGAGAAAAAAGTCAGAATTCTGAGAAAAAAGTCAGAATTCTGAGATTAAAGTCAGAATTCTGAGAAAAAAGCCAGAATTCTGAAAAAAGTCAGAATTCTGAAAAAAAGTCAGAATTCTGAGATTAAAGTGAAAATTCTGAGAAAAAAGTCAGAATTCTGAGAAAAAAGTCAGAATTCTGAGATTAAAGTCAGAATTCTGAGAAAAAAGCCAGAATTCTGAAAAAAAGTCAGAATTCTGAAAAAAAGTCAGAATTCTGAGATTAAAGTGAAAATTCTGAGAAAAAAGTCAGAATTCTGAGATTAAAGTGAAAATTCTGAGAAAAAAGTGAAAATTCTGAGAAAAAAAGCCAGATTTCTGTGAAAA